CCCCCATCCAAGTTCGGGCCAGACCTGAACCAGCTTAGCTTCTCAGCCCAGAGTTACATTATTTCCCTTGCTAAATCCTGAACAGCAAAGGAGAATTTATGTGGAACCCTTTGCAACTCTGTTTTGTCGCCCACGAATGCTGTGTGCGCAGATGGGGAGATGTGGATCTACTGCTTGTATGCTCAACAGTAACTATTAAATGGTCGTCATCTTTTCCAGAAGCTTCCCCTTGAAGCGACAAGAGGAAATTTCAAAAAGGAAATAAGTAAAGAATCAGCCCCTTCGGGGGAATCTGATGAAAAGATGCCGTTCCTCCACTTTTTATTTGCCAGAAACAATTCCGGGATTTGCCAACTGATGTGCCCGGAATGGCATTAGTCGCCTAGGTGATTTCAGGTTTCTTGAGAGCATCATCAGTGGAGGACTGAGCGTCTGCACTGGCAACTCGGATGGGCGGTGGGAATATTAGGCCCCCGCTGTTCCAGACAGTGAATCACAGATCTTGCTTCACAAAGGCGCTGCTCAAAGAGCAAAATATTTCTCTGCAGTTACGCGACGCCACCGGCTGGAGTCTGGCATTGTGGATCCTGAAAGTGCCACACGTCCAGCCCCGGTGTGGACCCGGCAGCGAGCCTGGCTCCCGTTCCCTGCTCCAGGTGGCTCTCCTGGGTCCCTGGCATCGATGCATCAACTCCATGCAGCGGACCCCACATTTCCAGAGCTCAGCATCCACACGAGCGGAGCAGCCGGGCCCTGCCACAAAGGCACGGATACGGTGCAAAAGGGAAAAGCAGCGAGGAAGGAGAAGCGTGTCTGAGCAGCGGTCCTTTTGCAGGCCGGCGGATGCGGTCAAATGGGCCCCTGATCCCTTTCTATGACCCCCTTTCTGGAGGGAAGGAGAATGATGGGGCCACGGAGGCGAAAGGACTGTGCCTGGAGCATTACGGTCCCAGCTGTGGGATCAAAGCAAGGTTGACACAATACAGCCCCCCGAGACACGTTTCTTTGAATATCGGAGGGGCCAATTGAAATTCCTAGCTGTTGGCAGCAAGAAGCCCCCATGGCCCCCCCCCACTGCCCC